CATCTGTAAATCATTTTATATTGATTCTCTCTATATGCAGTTGATAGCGTCAATTTGCAATTTCTGTTCCATAATCTTTCCCATTCCTCTAAATTTATATTTCGCCCCACATTTCGTGCCCACGCTATCATTGGCCCCTTCACTATTTCTTCTTCTAACTCTATCTCTAATAGGTATTTATAAATTTTTGATAATAGTTGTGATGGTTTTTTCTTACTGTCTTGATCTTAGGCACTTCCAAACGGCTCACCAATCTCTCTCTGACTCCCATCAGCCACTGCTGTTGCTGTTCACTTGGCTGAAGGGTGGAAAGCATCTGGCTCCCCCATAAAGTTAAAACAGCCATGCAAAGTGTTAGCCTCTACCTTTTCATTTTTCACTGCTTGCATACATCACCACTAACATTATAGGCCCAAACCATTATCAAGGGAGCCACTCAGTTTGATTTTTCTCTGTTTCTCCTACTTCAAAAAGCAAACAAAAACTCACTTCAGTCTGGAACAATCAACCCAACAATAACAGACCAATTTTATTCTGCATCCAGACGAAAATGCATATTTGGCTTTCAGGCACAGGCTACCTGAATCCAGTTGTTTTGTGCATGGATTATTTTGTACATCTCTTTTAATTATCATCATGCAAAAATAGTGCTGTTCATGAAAATAGTCTTTATGCATGTAGAATATTATATTAAAGGAATAAAAGTAAATGTAAATCACGGGATGTCAATTTCCAATCAGGTTAATATCAACTTTATTCACTACAACTCTATCTGTCATTCTGGAAATAATCCATACTTTCACTGTGCCCATATGCCAATTACTATATTGCTTTGTGCCCTTTACACCATTCAATTATCTCGTGTTTTTAGGATCTTGACAAGGTTTAAATGAACACAATCGCTTTATCCCTAAAAAAATAAAGACACTAAAAAAGCAAAATTACTTTGAAGCAGTTAAGAAAAATTGTGGTGTGGAAAACCTTGAAGTTGTTTAGATAAATATTTTCCTCTTCATAATATTACACTTTATATTACTTGTACAGCAGGATTATAGAATCTAAAATGTGACTTTCAAATCGTATGTAACATATTTCTTTTAAATCGTTCCAGAATGGGGAGCTACATGGTAAAAAGTACCCCATTTCTCCAGTGCAAGATTGCATTGGTCCCACAAAGTTTAGCAAGGAGATAAGAGTAGACTCTTTTTCCCTTTTGTACCTAAAAGATGAATCAGCTGAGACAATATGCATGCAACTTAACAAACTTCTACTGTAAATTTCTCTGCAAGCATGCTTTAAAAAAGTTATTTAGCAAGCTTTGCAGATTGCATCATTGTAAATCACTCTTGTCTGTGAACCTTTTGTCTGTATACCTGCTTGTAACCATTAAGATAAAGAGAACCCAAAGATGCTTTTTCAAGAGGCAACTGGACTTTGTTTTCTTTGAAGATGTTTCGCTTCTCATCTGAGAACTCTCAAACTCTCAACTCTAACCCTTGCTAAAGGAAGGGGAAACAATGGCTGTATACTAGACAACATATTCTCCCCAAGAGTATTAGCATGAGTAAATTTTGCCTTAGTAGTTTCTTGATTAGGGTTTGTTTTCTGTTTGTCTGGTGTTAATCCCTGCTTATCTGGATATTGCTTAGTGGAAAGAATGTTTTCTAGTCTTTATATTTCTTTCTTACCTATTTGTGTCTTTTGAATGGGATGCAAATGTCATTTACTGTATGTCTGTCTATTTGTTATGTATATGTAAGGGTGTGGGTCTGTACATATGTTGTATATAGTATGTCTAGGTGTGTGTCATGTGTTTCACTTTGAGAGCGGGCAACTAAATTTCATTTTTGATGTGTGCCGTTGTGCCCACAGTAAAAAAATGACAATAAAGGTTTTCTTATCTTATCTCATTTTATTGGTGGCTGATTTGTCTGAAGGCCAATCTCCCAGGAGTTTCCTAACATTCTTGGATTTAGCTTGGTCTAGGACAGTGATGGCAAACCTTTTAGAGACTGAGTGCCCAAACTGCAACCCAAAACCCACTTATGCATCGTTGAGTGCCGGGTGGGTGTGGCCCATTGGCTGGGTGTGGCCCATTGGGTGGGCGTGGCTGCAGTGGTAACGGAAGACTGGGTGGGACTAAAAAGTTCAATCAATCAATTCCAACTTTGCAAGATCTTTTTTTTCCCCGCGAGAAGTTGAAATTGATTGAACCTTTTTTTTTTTTTTGCACATGGCAGCAGAGGCCTAAAGCGAAAAGGTTTTATAAAACTCAGCTGAAGGCCTAGGAGTGGGGCCACGGCGCGCGTGCCCACAGAGAGGACTCTGAGTGCCGCCTCTGGCACCCGTGCCATAGGTTCGCCACCACTGGTCTAGGATACTCGCATTTCCCAATTGAAACTATGGTTGAATTTATTCATGTATTGTGAGATTAAGAAGTTTTCACTATGTCTGGTGACTGGTAGTTGCTGTTCATGGATATGTTCTGCTAGTCTTTTGCCTGTCTGCCTTATGCAGAGGCTGTTACATGTATGTATGTAGATGATGCCTGCTTTTTACTTCTGGGGCTATTGGGTCTTTTGGTTTACTTAGGATGTTTTGAAGAGCTTTATATTTGGTTTATGTGTTATGGTGATGCTTTGTGGTTGTAATAATCTGTTGGTTGCTTCTGAGATGTATTTGATGTATCGTAGTGTTATCTTTTTCATAAATTTCTATGGTCAGGGCCTTTTTAAAAACGTGAGAGTATTCATTTTGTTAGATAGTATTGTATAAACAGTATGTTTCCTTTTTGTGCTATTGTTTCTACTTCCTATCTCTTAAGTATAAAAAGGTGGCAAAATCCCACCAATAGTTTAAACATCAATGGACAATTAAGTCCTGCGGGAAAAAGTTCTGTGCAACTGACAGTTCCAGATCTCTCTCCCCCCCCCCCCATTTTTGGTAAGCTGATGAGATACAAATTAGTATACCTTTCTTTGTTATTGCGCTCTTATTATTCAATAAAATATTTTTTTTGCTATTTCACCTCATCTGACCCTATTGTCTTAAGAGTCCTAAAGAATTCCTCTCCCGGCTGACTCCTGGCAACACAAAGATTCAGAAGAGGAACCCTATCTATGGGAAATGAAGAAGACTTTCCATTGAAATATGCTCAGTTTATTTTTGACTTTGAATTGTTGTGGGGAACCTAGGAAGGAATATAGGTATGTTCAGCGTCTTGAGGTATTTACAAAAATAAAGTGAGATAAAACATAAATAAAAATAAATAAACTTTAAAAACTTCAAATTCTGGCTTAGCATAGCGTGGGAACCCTATCAGTGTTTAGAGATGTGCCACAAGGCTTAAGTCAGTAAAGTATTCCCAGAATTGAGTCTGTAAAAAATAACAATGACTGGAGCTAGAAGATCCATTGTGCTAGGTTTTTTTTAAAAAAATCTACCTGTTTCATCTGCTGATTCTGTTGAACTCTTTGACACAAGACGAGAACTGATTTGATTATTTATAAGAAGCTACATTAAAAAGCTATAGTTAATATTATTTAGTTATCAAAAATGTATATTTTTTTGCTACATATCACAATATTACAAAAGCAGGTTTTAATCGAAAAACTCATGCACACTGCAGTCTTTTTCCTTCTTTGTAGAGTTTGTATTCTGAATCTATAGGAACATAAGAGGATAATAACTTAACATGCCCCACTCCCCCAAAAATGGCTAAAAATGATATATTGGTCTCAGCACTGCATTAAAACTTATACAACGGTTTGATGTTATGGAGAATGTTAAAAAACAATAGATCAGACACATAATTTTTAGTCCCCTATGATAGCAGCTTCTCTAGAATTTGTTTCACAGTTACAGGATCTGATCGTCCTCTTGTGGTCCTTTGGACATGTCCAATTATGGAATTCAGGACCTTGAGGTTGCCATTCTTTATCTCTGCCACCTAAATAGAGAAGTTTCATACACAATGGGTTATGATTGATTGTACTGAACATTATTATATAACAGCTTTTTACCATGTTTCTTTTTTCTCTGTTAACATGATGGAATGTTGTCAGGATTCAGGAGGAAAGGAACGCATTACAGAGGAGCAAAACACAGCACAGTTTAGATAGTTTGTGCAGGAGAGAGAGAGAATTAAAATGGCTCCTTCCTCGTAGTTCCCAAAGCATATGTTTATAGATTATAGTTTGGCAAGATTTCTGTCTATAGGTGAGGAACAAGAAAAGAAACTGCTTAGAAGACTCTTAATGTACCTTTCTTGCTTTGGGGAGCCTAATACCAATTGATGTACAGAAAACAAGAAAGACATATTAAGACTCTTCTTAACATTCTCCTTTATTGTTCCTCACCTATTCTTCACCTGTAGACAGAAATGTTGCTGAACTAAAACAGATTCCTTGCACTATAAAACATATACTCTGGGAACTAGAGGGAAGGGCCATTTTAATTCTCTTTCTCCTACACAAGCTATCTATAAACTATGCTGTATTCTGGAATGCATTGCCTCCCAGGAATCTGGATGACATTCCATCACAGTTAGTAAAAAGTTAGAGCCTTCCTTCTTAACCAAAAGGTTAGACTATTTTTTTTAAAAGAGGAAGAATCTTCCTGTAATAATGGAACCACATAAATCACAATAGTTTAATTGCAGGTACCTTAAATTAGATCCAATCTAGTAATTTATAATAATTTGTGTAAAAATCCTGCAAAAAAAATATATACAGGAATCAATTCATGTATGTACCGTAAACATGTTTTGCAACAGAAAATGCCAAGCCAAATTTAATCCGGGAGGGGGGTGTACTTTCATATATTAACCCCCTCCTACTGTTTCCCACAAAAAGGTACTTAGTTGCATCTTCTTTTTGAATGAGCAGGTTGCAAAACAGGTAACCATGGCAAGATCTGATTTTAAAGGAAAAGCAATACCATTACAATCTAATGTTTAATTTCTGGTTTTAAAAAAGTTGTTTTTAGATTGGACAATCTGCTGATTCTAGCAGTAAATTCTGAATTACATCAAACAATATGTGCCACATTAAACACTATTAGCAGCTAGGTACATTATTACAATAATCTTAATAATTGTAATAATATACAACTGCTGCTTCCAGAGAATCAAGTACATTCTAGATTAAGCTATTATTGAAAGGATATGTTTTTCTTCTAGCATCAAATTATTATTATTTATTTAAAAATAGCCTAATTTTCCAAGATAGCAGCGTAATTATTAATATGATTACCAAAACCATCTAGAAAGTGGTTTTAAATTTATTACAGGTTCCTAATGGCAAGAGGAGCCTTGCCTGGGCTGCCTTGTTATTAATAGATGTTAACATTTTTTTCATACTCAAAAGTACCTAGATAAGATTTCACTTATCTAATCATTATTAGCCTTTGGAGAGAACACAAATGTTCCTATTCCTTAGGTAGCTACATCTTTGAAGACTTTTTATTTTAAAGGTTTCAGAAAAATCAACATTGAACTATATCTTCAGGAACAAACAGAATTGTTTTTACACTGCTTATATGAAAGGGAAATGCCACTTTGCTGTCCAGGAAGCATTCAAGTCATGTAATCTGAGACATCTTCAGCAAGGAGGTGTTTAATTTTAAATGTTAGGTCATTTTCTGTCTTTTGTGGCCATTTCATCTGTCACGATGCAATTTGTTTCATTTTTCTCTCTCAAGAGTTGCCAAACAACATGGTAATCTGAATGGAAAAGGCAATTTACATTTCGTATCTCCACCACCCACCCTAAAGTGTCAAAACCTCTTTGTTCCCAATTTCCCTGTCTGTTATCAATATCACCTCTTTCTGATGGTCTCTCATCACAGTCTGACAGATACTCTCAAGTTCATTCCAATCCTGGATTAGATTGAGTTTCTTTTCTTTTACAATCAGAGATGGAGACTTCACTTCCCTCTTCCACATCTCTTCCAACACCTGCAGCATCAAGATAAAAGAAAATTGATGGCTGAAGTATGCCTCTTGTCTTTCAGAAGGCAAGACTGAGTTGAGAAGGCAAAGAAGGTAAAAAAGACAAGAAGTTAAGGCTTCAAAATTCCCCTTGTTACACAAAAAAGATACCAGTCTAAACAGGCAGAAAATTCATGCTTTGGTTTTCCACTTAATTCAAATACTGTTCTACTTCTTCAAATAAGGAGACTTCTGCGCGGACTAGCAATTTTATAGTTGTGTCCTAATTATTATTTTCATTCCAAATTGTTTTGATTGTTTTAGTTTTGCCTAGGGACCTCTTGAGAGACCGTGCAACTCCTGTTATATCTTTTCAGTCATGCTAAAACACAGCTAATAGCAGCAGCAATACCTCTACTTTAGAATTAGGAAACATTTTTATTGTCCTGAGCTGTTTTATAGGTCTTAAAAGGTTTTCTTAAAGGTTTGTTGTAGTTGTTAAGGCAACAGGCTAGAAACTGAAAGATTGTGACCTCTAACCTTGACTTAAACATGACGTTTTGGGCTCTAACCCTGCCTTAAACATGAAGCTTTGAGCCAGTCAGTCTCTTTCAGCCCTAGGAAAAAGGATTTCACTTCTGAAATCTCGTCAAGAAAACTGCAGGGACTTGTCCAGATGGTCACCACCAATCAACATTGACTTGTAGGGACCAAACCCAAAACATGCATTAAGTAGTAATTCCTGCCCTTGCTGAAAATATATTTCCTAGCTTGGATGGACTTTTGCTTTAGCTCACAAATGTTCTGAGGCTTTATATAAGAAAACACTCCTCAGTTTTCTACAATTCAATCATTTTCCTTTTTTCCCTATATATGATAAATATTAAAGAGAATAGTATCAACTCATCAGTCAGTTCTATAAAAACATAGGATTGTCCAATTATTTTGTAAAGGAGGTTAAATGAAATACAAGAATCATTTTCTACAGTACATGCTGACCAATGTGTATGAATATAGCCAATATCTTGGTCTGAATATAGTGAGCTGAATCTTAACCTTTAGGACACAATCAAATGAAATAGCAAAATTCATTCCCACAAAATTGTTTGCTAAACAGTCACAGGAGACAGTTTCTGATCAGTACAAGAAAAAGGAATAGAGTTATATAATTAAAACAAACCATACATTACAAAGCTATGGGAAGATTATATACAGGTAGTCCTTGTTTAGGGACCACAATTTGGACTGGCACCTTCACTGAAACAGTCATTATTATTATTAATAATAATAATAGTAAAGTTGGAAGGGACCTTGGAGGTCATCTAGTCCAACCCCCTGCTCAGGCAGGAAACCCTATACCATTTCGGACAAATGGCTGTCCAGTCTCTTCTTAAAAACTTCCAGTGTTAGAGCATTCACCACTTCTGGAGGCAGGTTGTTCCACTGGTTAATTGTTCTAACTGTCAAGAAGTTTCTCCTTAGTTCTAGGTTGCTTCTCTCCTTGCTTAGTTTCCACACGTTGCTTCTTGTCCTGCCTTCAGGCGCCTTGGAAAATAGCTTGACTCCCTCTTCTTTGTGGCAGCCCCTGAGATATTGGAACACTGCTATCATGTCCCCCCTCATCCTTCTCTTCATTAAACTAGACATACCCAGTTCCAGCAGCCGTTCCTTATATGCTTTAGCCTCCGGTCCCCTAATCATCTTTGTTACTCTTCTCTGTACTCTTTCTAGAGTCTCAACATCTTTTTTACATCACGGTGACCAAAACTGGATGCAGTATTCCAAGTGTGGCCTTACCAAGGCATTGTAAAGTGGTATTAACACTTCACGTGATCTTGATTCTATCCCTTTGTTAATGCAGCCTAGCACTGTGTTGGCCTTTTTGGCAGCTGCAGCACACTGCTGGCTCATATTTAGGTGATTGTCCACTAGGACTCCGAGGTCTCTCTCACAGTTACTACTATTGAGCAAGGTATCCTCTATACTATACCTGTGCATTTGGTTTTTCTTGCTTTTTTCACCATTGAATTTCATTTTGTTAGATAGTGCCCAGTGTTCAAGTCTGTCCAGATCCTTCTGTATCTTAAGCCTGTCTTCTGGAGTGTTGGCTATTCCTGCCAGCTTGGTGTCATCTGCAAATTTGATGAGTTCCCCATCTATCCCCTCGTCCAAATCGTTGATGAAGATGTTGAAGAGCACTGGGCCCAGAACAGAGCCCTGGGGCACCCCACTACACACTTCCCTCCATGTAGATGCGGTTCCATTGAGGACCACACGCTGAGTACGGCCGGTCAGCCAGCTACAGATCCATCTGGTGGTGATGCTGTCTACCCCATATTTTCCTATCTTGTCAAGTAGTAGGTTTTGATCTACTTTATCAAATGCCTTACTGAAGTCCAAGTAAATTATGTCCACAGCATTCCTCTGGTCCATTAATTTTGTCACTTGGTCAAAGAATGCAATAAGATTTGTCTGGTATGATCTATTTTTGACAAACCCATGTTGGCTTTTAGTAATGACTTTGTTTGCCTCTAGGTGTTCACTGATTCATTGTTTGATTATCTTTTCCAGGATCTTCCCAGGTATTGAAGTCAGGCTGATAGGTCTGTAATTTCCTGGGTCCATTTTTTTTCCTTTTTTGTAGAAGTGAAATCGCAACTGTGCTTACCATGTTACTTCACCTTTCCTTTGTTTTACAGACCTAAGAAAGCAGTAAATGCAATATTTGGCCAGTTACTTTTTCCTTACTATCATAACAGGTGAACAGGTGCTAAACTAGCAAGTCATTAAATGAGCACTACCTGTAATGCAAAATCTATGGCACCTCTAACCAATTTATTTATTTTGTAAAGCACAACTATATGCAACAATGTGTCAGTCTGGAATAATTATTTCCTAATGTTATAATGCTTCCCAGCTTTGTAGTCAAGCTACATCACAATTGTAAAAATATCTAGAAACAGCTACTTAAAAGAGAAACATTATTTGGGCATTTTCTATGTTGCACTTGCTTCTGTTTCAAACATACATGCTGTGACACAGAAGGTGCCCTTTTAAAACAGCTGTTTCTTCTCAATTTTCCAGAGAAGAAATAATACAATGCTTGTCATGCTGGAAATTCTGTACTATTAATGTATGTATGCTAAAAATGTTTCAAATGCAGCAATTCCACTCATAATTAGCAATTCCTTAACAAAATTAGATGACTGAATTAAGTATAACATAGTTTTATTGTGTTATACAGTACTTAAGTATAACAGTACAGTACAGTTTTCTTATAACAAGTAAGAATACTGTCCAAGAATTTAGTTATGGTTGATAATAGTTGTATATTCAGTGCAATGATCTGTAGCTGACTCTATTCTCTATTAAGCTGTACTTGTCCTGCTGGAGACCATAACAGCCTAATAACAATGTAAAGTGGGGTAACCGCTGTACAAAATTTACATTGGTTGGGAAAGAATAATAAGTCCCATGGTAAAATGTTCAGCAAATGTAACTATTTATTGATTTAAATGAAGTACTGATCAAAATTTTTGTACTCCTAAGAAATATAAGTGCAATACATCCAGACCGTAGTGCAAGGATAATAGATGCCTTAAGAATCAGTGCTGTACCAGAGAAAAGGACAATGACCTTGTGCTCATTAAAATTGACATTTAATGCTTTACTATATAGGATACCCTGCTTTATTGTAAGTTGTCCTCCCATTTGTTTTGGAAGATAAAAGAGCTGAGCAATTTTCCAGTAGTATAATTACAGTCAGCACTATTACACTGGGCACTGATTTTCATTTAATGACATCTAGGGATATTGAACTAATTTTATGTTAAACGGTTTAAATATTCAGTATGGTTGCTTTTCAAATATTCCAGAATTTTTGTCACTTTTTACATTAAAAATTACAATTTAGCTTTGGAGGCCATATGTGACTTGGAAAGCACAGGCTGAGGAGCTCACAAGAAATAAACAGATTGAACTGTATAAGCTGGTAGAAGAAGTTGCCCAGGATGGATAGTTTTACAGAAATAAAACAAACTTAAACATATCACAATTTTCACCCACACTATGACTTCAAAATATTCATAAAGATCAAGTCCTATCTATATACCAAGATATCATTACCATGTAAATTATTTCAAGAGTGGTTAAGGGTAGCCACGGGCCATATATTTTTACTTTCTGGAGAATATGTTTAGATATCCTTTCCTATCTTGCCTTATTTCCTTATCTATTTATTCTTTAGAAAATCACATTTAGGAAAGAACCATTATCTTGTATCTTTTTACTTGAATTGATTAAATAGGCCACCATATTGACAAAATCTTAACTGTTTAAGGAAAAAATAATCAATAAAAATAGATCTAAAAGAAGGGTGCTGAGGAGATAGGTCATAAAAACAGAAAACTAAGTCAAAGTTAATTCCAAACTTTTTTCCATTTTGAATTTTAAAACAAAGTACCGTAAATAGTAATATCCCTTAGAGAACATATGGGTTTCATTCTGATAAACAGTGTAGTGGGATCAAGATTAATAAAACAATTCAAGATATTTACCTTCAGATAAGATGTACTCCAAATGGTAATGAAGGAGTATTTCTTACCTTTGAAAGTTGGGAATTTCAGGCTAAGAAAGTCTATAGTATGTAATTATTCTGTTTACTGTAGCAATTTGTTGCTGTATGGATATATTTATAGTTTTGCATTTTTACTTTTGGGTAATTGTTCATCCCATCTGCATAGGACTTTGTACTCTTTAAGAGACTATATTCTTAAGAGTAGGAGAAGCTACTTTTGCCAAAGAAAATGAACATGTTTCTCTAGCAAAAATAAATGGCCAAAAAACCATGCATACATACACACACCTTTCTATAGGAGCATGAAGATCTATCTCCATTAGAACATTCAAATTTAAACAAACATTTCTTAAGAAATGTTACTCAGCTTAATAACACATGTTAAAATTATCTCTTGCTAATCATAATAAGAAATTGGGTGGTTTTATACTCTTGGTTAACCTTATTTGCACTTTCTTCATTAACTATTTTCAGCCATACTAAAAAAGTCAATTCATCTAAATAAATAAATCATATGACACCTTGATGAAAGAACAGTTAGGCAACTATTTTTTGTACACATTGTATTGTGTACTGCATTGTACACTAAAAGTTATAGAACTGAAAATAGCTAATGAAGCAGATTCAAATAAATTAACCATGTTAACTATATTCATAAATTAATTGATAAGGCCAAATAAATATTTATAACATCAATTAAAAAAAAACACTCTCTTAGATGGAACCAAAGTTCTATGTGATGAGTATGTAGACCTTGTTCCATTTTTTAAAAATCTGAAGACTCCATATAAGGAGTCTTCAATTCTTCTTCAATCAAGGACTAACACAAGGTAGAAGTGGACACATATGTCTTCATTAGTTCTTGACTGTCAAATTAACACCATCACATTATTGACAATTTTCACTTTCGATCATCTGAAGACAATAGGTGAAAGGTAGATAACTGTCAGGCAGCTTACCGGTGAAGAACAATTAAGAAGGTCAGTTGATCTTTATCCTTCCAATCTCCAAAAGAAATGTTTGAAATCAAGAGAATTATATTTATTGTCACATCTCATTTGGACTTGAAGCTAGACCATATGTCCACTGTTTAAATAGAATTTAAGACTGGATTTAAGTCTGGGTGATATGTAAATACTTCTCATACCAGCAGCCCACACTGGTTGTACATTCCTAATATCTTAACACACTTATGAGGTTTGTGGAAATAGCAGAAAATTTTCCTTTTGGGTTTTTTGTTTTAAATTGAGTCAGAGTTATAAATTATACAAGTTATTGAAATACACTTTGACAGAAACAAGCCCTATAGGAAAATAATATTCCAAACAAATACCTCTTTGGCTGCTGAAGATGAAATTTTTCTACTTGATATTAGGTCCAGTAATTCAGCCAAAAGAACAGGAGTGACTGGACTAAACAATAAAGCAAATAAAACAAATTAGAAATGATACAACCTTCTTGATTCAGCAGGCTCATAAAATATTCTGTATCACATACTCAAGAAGTATTGTTGTTAGGGAGTGCTTACTGCTGGAAAGGGGATGTGGCAGTTCCCAAAAGTAAATTACCAGAAGACTAATGAATGTGTTTGCCACCTTCCACTTTTTTCTTGTCCCCAAAAATATTCATTCAACTGCCAATTTATTTCTGCGTTCTTTATTGTCAGGCAATTTATTTGTGCAAATTCTACACCCATTCAACCTCCTCCTTCCCCAAAAATATCAAAAGTTGGCATACTCTACTACTCCAAGCTGGCACATAGATGGAAGTATTTTATATGCATGAATGCATGTATATTGTTAGTTATGCTACATTTTCCATTCCATTTTGTTGCCTTAAGAAAGATGTCCTTTCCAGATGACAGTTTCTTACAAGAGGCCATAGTTGGTCCTGCAAATCCATGACCATAGAAAGTCTCAGAAATACAAGCTCAGGTTCATAGTACTTCGTTTATATTGCATATTAGGCTTTTATCATACATGCCCTATTCCAGCTTTCATCATGCAGAGTTACAAGTCAGCATTTGCAATACGTTTGGTGGTGTACCTCATTGAAAGCAATGCACTGATAACTGATATTTGCATTCTTTAAAGTGTATATGGCTAGCTGTTCCTAAAACAACACTCTCCAGATATTTGAATTATAACTCTCATATTGGCATGCCATCTGCAAATATTGGATTTTTCCCCCCAAATTCTCATCTGGAAAGCACCAAACGGGCAAAGGCTCTTATGGATATTACTTATTTTACATTTCCTTCCTTCCCTTCTTACTTTGATCATGGGAGACATTAGTTTCCTAGGGATGGATCTTCTCCCTCTAAGCAAATGTTTAGAATAACTCTGCTTTAACAAAACAAATATTCAGATGAAAAACTGAATCCTGCAGACTGCTGTGATAGCACATTCACAGAATCCTTTATTTATATGCCCATAAGTCATCAGAAGATGTAAGTTTGAAGTTTGAAAAAGTAATTATTGGCATAGAAGATCTGTTTGATCAAAGTGAAAGATCTAAAGCCTCACCTTTCTTTTACAGTAATGTTATATAATTTTAGGTAACTGAGGAAATTATTTATAACCCAGCCAATCACTTTTTTGGGATTCATTTCTGTTGCATTCACAACGCTTTCAAAAAAATCCATTAAGCCATCTTCATTCTGTTAAGAAAGAAAATGTATTTAAACATAGCAACCAATTAACTTTTCCCTCAACAATCCATATCTTCAGATTTGAATTCATTAGTTGTGTGATATAATTAATCTCTTGACTGTTTCATAATTCCCAGCAGTTCAAGAAACTATATAGTTCCAACAAAGCCATGGCATGAATCGTCAATGAAATTGCTTGATTTAGAAGAGATCCATTTCTTTGCCAGTCCTGCTGATCTAGATAATATTATCATTAATTCACTTCTAAATGGAGATGATTACCACACATATGGAATTGATTACAATTCTATGTCTTCCATGCTGCGGTATGCAGATTTTTACTAGTAGCTGACTAAAATTTAGAAACAGGGAAGTACAAGAACAGCTAATCAACCAATATTGTTTCCTGCCCAAATACATTTCCTTTCTCTGAAAAATATACAATAAGTTTTTTATTCTAGCATATTATGAGGGAAAGAACCACAAGAAAAAGCTATATGACTACTGAATCAAGATCTCCACAACCTCTAAACATAGGAGAAGCAGCATGAGGGCATCATTTGATTGGCACAGGGTAGAGATGTATAGCTAAATATCATCAGCATAGCAATGATATTTAACTCCCTGCCACCATGTAGATGTTAACAGGAGCGAATGGAATTTAGGGCCCCGAGAAACCCCACAAAGTAGGGATTTAGATCCTTCCTATCCCAACTGTAACTAGAACTGAAAAAAGGAGAATTTTTTCAACACTGATTTCTCACACACATACATTGCTAATCCCTGAAGCTGTTTCACCACAATACCATAAGCAATGATACCAAAAACTGCTGAGAGATCAAGGAGGCCAGGATAGATATATTACCATCATCCTGGTCCCAACAAAGTCACAAACAAATGCAACCTGTACATGTAGTCCTCAACTTACAACAGTTCATTTAGTGACCATTCAAAGTTATGACGGCACTGAAGAAAGTGACTTATGACCATTTTCATAGTTACGACCTTTGCAGCATCCCCTTGATCATGTGATCAACTTCTGATGCTTGGCAACTGGTTCATATTTACGACTGTTGCAGTGTCCCAAGGTCATGTCATCACTTTTGCGACCTTCTGACAAGCAAAGTCAGTGGGGAAGCCAGATTTACTTAACAATCAGATTACTAACTTATCAACTGCAATGATTCACTTTATAACTGTGGCAAGAAAGGTCGTAAAATCAGGCAAAGTTCACTTAATAAATGTCTCACTTAATAACAGAAATTTGGGGCTCAATTGTGGTTGTAAGTTGAGAACTACCTGTACAATATTTCAGTATTAAACCCCCATGTACTAAATGTTATATATTGTGAATTAAAATATGCATCTGTATCTTGAGAGAAGAACAAAGTACATAATGTGTTGATTAGCTTCTATCTGTTATAAAAAATATTAAGCAACATGCAAATATTTACAACAACAAAAGAGTACAAATATATATATATATATATATATATATATATATATATATATATATATATATATGTTTTTTGAGGTTTTCACGGGTGTTTATATGTGAGTCTTTGGTCATTCGGGTTTTCTCCCGTGTAAGATTAGAAGCCTGATGATGATTAAAACTTAATTTCCTGTCACACGTCCCCACTGATTTTGGGAATAGAATATGCCTATACAAGCAATAAAGACTAATTCATGTGTGCAGACGATTGATCAATACAGAATTCATGCAAGCATCATTTAGCGCAGAGGTCCCCAACCTTTTGGCACCAAGGACAGGTTCTATTGAGAAAGGTTTTTCTGCAGACCGGAGAGTGCATGATTTTGTGCGCTGCCTGCATTCCACGGATGGGACTTTGCTTATTTGTGCGGACCGGTTGCGGGCATGCCGCGGCCCAGTACCGGTCCACAGACCAGGGGTTGGGGACCCCTGATTTAGCGTACATCCCCCCTAATTTTCGGAAGTATCAAAGAGTTTTTTACCCTTTCTCATTCTGACATGCTTAGGAGTCCCAGGACAAAGCAATCCTTAAGGCAGACCATCCTTCCTTCCTTCCTTCCTTCCTTCCTTCCTTCCTTCCTTCCTTCCTTCCTTCCTTCCTTCCTTCCTTCCTTCCTTCTTTCCTGCCTGCCTGCCTGCCTGCCTGCCTGCCTGCCTATCTTTAATTAGTTTGTGGCAAGTTTAATGGCCAAAGTTACAATGGCATTTTAAAAAGTGACTTACAGTCCTCAGATGTATGACCGTAGCAGCATCCCCATGATCACATGATCAAAATTTGGGTGCTTAGCAACTAGCATGAATTTATGATGGCTTCAGTATTCTTCCCACCCAGCTTCCAACAAGCCAAGTCAATTGGGGAAGCCAGATTGATTTAATGATTGTATGATTCATTTACCAACTGCAAACATTTGCTTAAAATCATGGCAAAAAGGTTCATAAAATTGGGCATGATTCACTTAACAACTGCCTTGCTTAGCAACAGAAATTCTGGTCCCAATTGTGGTCATAAGTTGAAAACAACTTGTACTCAATATGTCATTCCTTACATATCTATAGCGCACAACTTATTATGTTTACACCACTGTTTCACTGTTTTTATTATAGACTTACTGGATATAGTATATAATTAATATGAGTATTTATGTATTGCCCTAATTTCAAGGACTTGTTAACCTCTCTAATTATACTGATTTTTTAAAAACTTTATAAACAACATGGGATATGATGGAGAAAGATGTATTGTAGCAAGTGCTGATTGCAATTAGGATATCTAGTGGAAATTTAATAATACGTGCTTTGAAATCCATCAAAACATGAATGCAACATCAAATGGAGTAAGCAAAGGGATATATATATATAACTCCTGAGGTCTGTACTTTTCTAATACAGTTTAGAAAAACACACAAGTCAGATGAATTTAGATTATCTGGGTGTCTCGGGGTATCCAGAAAATTGGGGGCGGAGATGTTTTCATACTTAAATTTAGACAGAATGGATGACAAAGACCTATTTTTTTGTACCAGAAATATTAATATATTAATCCTGGCTTCAAGTGGTTGGTATCCGTCATATGTATTCAGTTTACAATGATATAAGATTTCAAAAGAAGTCTGAAACCTATCAGAGAAGGTTACATTATGAGATTTAAAAATATTTAATGAAACAGTGAAACTTTTGCACTCTTTAATTTACTTCAGGGGTAGTCAACCTTGGCTCTTTTATTTATTTATTTATTTATTTATTAATTAATTGAATTTTTACCCCGCCCTTCTCCTTGTGGACTCAGGGCGGCTGACAGCCTGATAATTCCTGGCTCAGGAATTCTGGGAGTTGAAGTCCACGAGTCATAAAAGAGCCAAGGTTGACTACCCCTGATTTATTTGATCATTTGATCAATAGAGTTACCTGTAAGATAAAGCTGTGTTGAGTCTGAATCCCATAACGTTCAACAAACTTTGCTCTTTTGACACTAGGGAGATCTGGAAGCCTCTCCCGAATCCAATCGATATTTATTACTTGCTGGTCATTTATATGAGTAGGCAAGGATTTAGCATCATAAAGAATCAATGGAGGAAGATTTGGCTCAGGCATGAACCTGGAGGAAAACAACAACAAAATAACATTTATTTTGATTTTTTTTTAAATTAAATTTGCTATACACAAAAACACATGGCTAAGTTGAGGCTCCACATAAGAACAAACTGACAATACAACCAATCACACACACAAGGACGTCAAGGCTGAGAACAATCCTCTGAGCAGGAACAGATAAACTCCAATTTGTAAGATGTAATTGCCTTCTGAAAGTCGTTAGTTTTTAAATGTCTACCATTCAAATGGTTTTATATTCTTCTCCAGAAAAGCAATAAAATACAGATACTACTCATCCCATGCCAAATGGGATTGGTTATTCAGCTGGCAACATACTTTGGTGAAAAGTGAGATGAAGTTGATAAGAACACTTCATGTGGACTGAAACCCCCCTTGTTATGAATCTCTGGAGATTTAATGGAAAAAGGAAGTTGTGCTAAGAGTCCAGTTGCCATCTTTGGTGAAGTGCCCTGCTAAGTAAAGCGAGTGACAGCATCTAAGGACAAAGGCTTTATGGAAGAGGACACTGATTCAAGATGTCAAGAAAATATAGCGATTAAATCCTAGTTTCAGCCTTGCAGAACCAAATGATGGATCTGCAAACTTAATTCAAGCTTTATATCTCTCTGTAAGAGAGATGCACAAGCAATGAAATAACAGTAGCAATTGTAGTAGTCATACTTAATAACTATGTTTGATTCACAGAATTATGACATGGAAGAGATGGAGAAATTCAACTTCTCATGCTATTTCTCTCCTACCCTGTAAAGTGCTTGGAAAATAGGCCTGGAAAATAAAGCGGGATTTCAGAAAACTGAATGGAAGAGTCCCTGCAAGCAGGAAGCTTCTGCCTATTTTCAAATCCAACCCTTTTTCTTCAAATCTTACATATCACAGCATCCTTCATTCAGGAGAGTTCCCGAAGGTATTTAAGGTGAAGAAAGGAATTGAATGGGTGGAAAAATCATAACTCATCATATATATATATATTTGCCTGAATGCAACAAAGCATAAATAAAATTACCGATAATCTTGTTTTCCTTCTTTGTCCCTCATTGGCACAGTGCGTCTATAAAAGCAAAAAAAAAAAAAAAGCAATTATAAGAACTGGATTTAGCAAACCTGATAGTTACATAAGTGATTCTACCTCACGTTAAGAGCTTTCACATATTCTTATTACAATGTTTAATATCATGTGACCTGGATCTGCCAGTGGATGGTTTCTTTTGCCATATAATCCTTAAAGGCATGAGTTGATTATCTAAAGATCACAGCAACTAATTGTAAATGAATATGTTGTGCTTACTTGGTGGTTTCTATCTCTTTCTATCTCCAGATGGAAGAAGATACAAACCACCAAGTTAGCACAGCATATTCATTTGTAATTCTTTCGTAGAGGCGTGGTGGCGTAGTGGCTTAAGGATGCTGGACCTGCCAACCAGAAATGGTTAACACTCTGGCGGTTAGAGCTCCGGTAGCACTGCTGGATGGGGTGAGCTCCCGTCACTTATATTTAGCTCATGCCCTGCCCACCCAGCAATTTGAAACCATTATTTACAGTGGGAAAGGCTTGCTGCATAAGGAAAATGGGAGCCGGTGCTAAGCCTGCCCAGACTCAGGGTGAGATCAGCAGGAGAGGCCCTGAAGGTATCATTAAACCAACTGCTGCTAGTCAGCTGGTGCAAGCCAGTTCACCCCCCCCATAGCACAACGTGGAGAAGCGTGCAAACACGAAACTGAACGTACTAGCAATTCACCTGTAACATAAGAGTGTAGATCTTCCTAACAAATGTATACCATATGAAATAAAATTAAAAAAATATTCTTCTATGTAAACTTATATAGCCAACTATGGTTGAATACTGTCCTGACCTAAGTAAAAAAAATCTGAGTATACAGTATCATAAGTCAAATTTAAAGGAGTAGAGTAGAGTAGAGTAGAGTAGAGTAGAGTAGAGTAGAGTAGAGTAGAGTAGAATAAGAGTTGGAAGGGACCTGGGAGGTCTTCTAGTCCAACCCCCTGCTTAGGCAGGAAACCCTATACAGAAAAATGGTTGTCCAATCTCTTCTTAAAAACTTCCAGTGTTGGAGCATTCACAATTTCTGGAGGCAAGTTGTTCCAGTGATTAATTGTTCTAGCTGTCAGGAAATTTCTTAGTTCTAGGTTGCTTCTCTCATTGATTAGTTTCCATCCAAAGAATTAACATTGAGACAGCACATTAATTTAAATAATAAACACCTTATTTTAAGTAACTTTCAGTGCTGTGAGCAGCCAAATCCCAGAGATGGAGCAGCTACCTAAAGCCAAACTACCACAGGGTGAAACCATATAGAGAACTTTAAAAAGGTAGATGATCACAAGTCCAAAAGTTGTATCAACACGCAAAAGGTACACATTTTTAAGTACAAGAATGCTAGGTAGCTAATAATTCTGCTTCTGCTTTCAGATATTGTAATTTTCTTTTGATTTCTTCTATCTACTTATGGTTGGGGTAAATTATAAACAATCCCTACAAACACCAAAGTGGAAGGAAACCTCTTACCCAAGCTTATAGTCAAAGGCTCTAGTTTCATTTAGAATGGTTCCTCCATTCTCCAACTCTTCAATCTGCCTGTGTATTTCATAGTCTTGAAGAAATAAATGAACAGTCTAGGTTAGCTGTTGCATACTCACCTATTTCTCTCGATCAGCCCAAGCAAAAATGATTTTTAAGTCTTATTAAAATCATGATGATTATTAGCAAAAGAGATACACGAAGCTATATTGTAACAGCCAAATGCTGTGATATATAGGCACACTTAGGGAATTTCATTGTGAATATAAGCCTATTCTTTAATTCCTCCATGCTATGGATTCAGATTGCTTATACATTTTATAACACCTTTACTTCTTAGGCTTTTATTTGGCCATTCTGTGTCTGTATGTGTAAGAGGCTTCTACCTCTGTCTCCTGCTTGTTTTGGGTGACCATAATAAGTCAGTTTGCCCGTTTCTTCCTTTTGATTTTATTCTCAGTTGGATTTTCCCCATCCAATCTTTTTCTTTCTTTCTGAGGAAATTAGGATGGAGGAATCTCCATCTCGTCTTTGGCTGAAGCGATGACATCTCTTCTTTCTTTCTGGCTTCTCTATATGCTCCCCTCCTGACTCTACAGCAGGCAGCAGAAAGGAATTTCCGTCTTTTCTATGTTATGCAATTTCTACATTGCTTGTTGGGAACGCTCCCATTTCTTTTGCTTCTCACTTCCTCTGCTTCCTCCAATAATTCTCTTCTCCCACAGAGAGAAGATGTTGAAGCATGAACAGTGAACTTTGGCATGCAAAGATATTGCAAGCAGAATTATTGAAGGAGATGTGGCTGGCTTTGTAATTAAAGAAAATAAACTTGCCGTTGAGCTTCTTCATTATGTAGAAGAGAGAAATAGGGTAGAAAGCCAGAGTGATTTCCAATGGCAGTGGGACTAACAACGAAAATCAACAGAAATTTTATTCATTTGTTTGTTTTTTATGCTGCCCATCTCCCTGACACAGCAACTATGGGCAGCATAGACATTAGAAACTGGAATGCTTATAGAAAGTTGTAGCATCATCCAGCTGATTCTTGAGAAGATATATAAATCTTAATAAGATTTAAATTTTTCTGTTGCAGAAGAAGCTCTACTAATAAAAAACAACAATCATAAACTCAGCTTTGTAACATGTCTTTACATTATTAATGCGCACCTATGGTGTGAGTTTGCTGTAGGTCCTTTAAAATAACGGAAAAATTATTAGAAAAGAAATAAAATCAGTAGGTATATTACCTGTAAGGTATATTTACAGCAATGATATAAGAGTAATTTCTTAAAAGGAAAGATAGCAATATCATTCTCCTCCCAACCATCTGTCAACATTTTTCCATTGCTTCAAACTGGGAGTTCAAGACTGCATCAATAACCATTTCCTAATAGTTTTATGGAATGAAAAGTACAGATAGCCCTTGACTTATGACTACAGTTGGTATCAGAATCTCAATTGTTGAGCAAAGTGGTCATTAGTCAAGATGCCCACTTGACTGCTTCATTCAATGATCATAATCCTGGCTCTCCCACATCTGGTTAGTAAGCAACTGTGTGGATCTTTAAGCAGTGGTGCAAAAGAGCTGCCTGGCAAAGGAGGGAAGCAGCATTCCTCCATGCATGGGAAGGAACTTCTGTGCTGGAGGACAGGAATGAAACAACCGGTCATAAGTCAAGGACTATCTATAATGTAAATTAACTTTACATTCTATATCAACATGGCACAGATGGGGAATTATATATGCAGTTTAAAGACTTAATATATTTGCATCAGTATTAACTGCCTAATTCTACAAATACATTTTGTTGGGGACAAAATTTCAAATTTCTAGGATTTCAGTTAGGAAGAAAAAATTTATTTACCTATTGCCTTTGCGAGAAATCGAGCACTGTTGATATTCTTCACTTCAGTCCTTGTTCCATAAATTTGGCCAGGACGATGTATAGACACATTTGCATCTACTCTCAACTGGCCCTCTGAAAAAAATATTAGCAGTTGAATAAAACCATACCGCTTGCAAAAGAAATTGCAAAATTGCCACAAAAGATTATATGATGATTATCCAAGGCTTGTATTTCCTTAGGCTCTCTAGAGCAGTGGTGGCGAACCTATGGCACGCGTGCCAGAGGTGGCACTCAGAGCCCTCTCTGTTGGCACACGAGCCACTGCCGCCAACAGCAGGTGCATCAGGCCACCACTGCCACCCGGAGCAGGAGCCCCGCCCAGCACAAAGGAGGCGAAGCAGCCGACTAGCAAGCTCGAGTAGAGGTGGTAGAGCAGAAGTCGCCATCCATTGTTGATTGGTGGACTGGAAGAAAAGGGAGGGGGAAGCATTATGCATGCATGTGTGCACGGGGCCACGAGCACGCACGTGCTGCGTGATACTAGCCCTGCCCCGTTCTTGCATGGTGCAGCGCCTTGTATCTGCACCCCACGGCACGGCCTTTTTGCGCCTTGCAGTACGGTAGCCCATTTTTGCGCCACCGGTTTTTGCGTGCCAGAGGCAGCACTCAGAGGCATTTCCCTGCCCCTCCATGAGGGCACCACAATGCTGATGTGGCCCTGGCACTTTGCGATAAATAAGTGGGTTTTGGATTGCGGTTTGGGCACTCGGTCTCTAAAAGGTTTGCCATCACTGCTCTAGAGGAACCTATGGCCCTTCAGCTATTGCTAAGCTACAATCCCAAAATACACCATCCTTGGACATTTGATCAGAGAGCTGCAGTTCAGAAACTACTCAAGGACCACACGCTCTCCACTTCCTAGGTCTAGTCTAAAATTCTAACGATATATACCCTAAAGAGATTATTATACTTTTTTTCAAATGAAATACACTCCAGTAGCTTTCCTGGAGACTTTTTTCAAACAGTAATATATGCATCTCTCTATGGCATCTGTACACACCTTAAGGCACTGATGGGGAGGGCTCCCAAGTGGTTTAGCTTTTATGCACAAATCAGCCTTTACATTGTTTTCAAGCCTCCACAATCAGTTGAGAAAAAACTTCATGACTTTTGGAACAAAATAAATGTTGCTTTACAGTAGTATAAGATTTGTCATATAGTCATGTTAAAAAGACTCTGAAAATTGTTAAGTTTTTGTAGCTTAGATACAAACTCCTGGCAAAACTACATAAAAGGAAAAATTATGAAAATTGCTGCATAAGCACTGAGCTACACTGTACCTATTTTTCTCAGATGTTGCTCTGAAGATGTTCTCCTAATCAACAATCCAATAAACTATAACCAGCTTCCTATCTTACTAATATAACCACTATGAAAAATCAATGGGGCTTTTCTTTGGCAAAGATTGACAGGTTGCCCCCTGTGACACTGTCAGATTTTATAGCATGCTTGTTTTACAGAGACTATTACCCTGTACAGGACAGGTGTTGTTGAAATTGACTCATATAATGTTTTATTGCCCATTTTAAAAGAATTCATACTCTTACTGATTTATTCTATTCTAAGAGTTCCAGGCAGTGAGCTTCATTACTGTCTGTTATAAGTTACCTGATTGCTATCTGGAGTGTTACTAAATTTTGCACCTCTCTATGTGCATCTACACATTGCTGCAAATACTACTGTAAAACTTATATTGCATGTTTACCTTGGATGTACATTTCAATTTACTAATAAACATTATTTGATCCGTATCCTCAATTATAAAAAAAAAGTTCTAAACAAATATCCAGAAGACAAAAAGTGAAACAACTAAGCTACAAGTCTAAAGAAGGCTTTGTCAAGGATTTTGATTGTATGAAACTATCATTTGAAGCCCTAGTAGAATTCTATCACAAAGCCAACAGCAGTCCAAACAGATTTACTCAAGTGTCCTTGAAAATTTATAGCTCAAGGACAGGTGAGAAAAGCCCATTTTCCCCCTCAAGGACTTACAATCTTTGCAACAAATACAAGTGAAAACCCTTTCAAACAGCCAAAAGCTAATACAGATTTCCACATAAACTGATAGAGCAATCAGGCACTAAAACAACTATTTGAGGCAGGCTCCAGAAAATTGTTTTCAGATGTATACTTCTTTGTTTTTGCAGATACAATACTTCCTGATCAAGCCTGTAAGAATCTGGAAGTCAAACTGATACAGCAATATAAAATCTCCTCAATAATTCTGTACCAATAATGGGGGCATAAGAGGGGAAGGCTTTTCAAATAAGACTGTTCTTATTTGCTGTAAGTTACTATTACATAAAGTGAAGCAAGTATTTACTCAACAAATAACCATCATGTACATCATATACATTCCATTTATAAAAAATAAAACATGAGCATCCAATCTGTGGTATGTTACCTTGATGGCACTTTCCTAATATATAAATATTCCATTTCCCTTGTTTTTTATTTCTTTACTATTGCTCAAGAAAAATAACCAAAACTATTTGTAAACTGACCAGAGTTACTTAGGTGAGATAGGCAGTGTAGACATTTGATAAATAAATAAGACTAGATGGCCTCCATCAATACACTCAATTATTTAGAATGATCCTCCCATTGTTGAGTATGCACTGTTAAGTCAATGACAGTTCTTCGTGGCCACACAGACAGACTTTCTCAGAATGATCTGTCACTAAGCCTGGCCTCTCATTACTTTAATCCATCTACTTTGCTGCTGGTTGTGCCCTTCTTTTTTCTTCCATATTGCCCAGCATTATGGACTGTTAAAAGGAGCTGGATTTTCTCATCTTGTGCCCAGATATGATAATTTGAGCCTGATTATTTTGTGCTTCAAATGTATTTTCTTCTGCAATTCATTTATTTTCTTGGCTATCCATGGTATTCACTAGAGTCTTCTGCAACACTGACGTTCAAAGGAAGTAATACATTTTTTATGCCACTTCTTCAAAATGCTACTTTCAAATCATAGAGTATTACAGATTCTTTGTAGCTATCAGAATATCTCACAGCATCTAATTACGTTTTCCAAGGCTTTCATGGCTATCCTATCAAATGCTAGTTTGCAGCATACTTGTTCTTTTAGTCGATCCTAAACAACAAAAGCTATTGACCACGTCACTGTCTTCCCTGTCAATTCCAAGGATTTTTAAGATTGTTGTACTTATCATTAGTTTAATCCAGATATGTCAAACACAAGGCCCACGAGTCGCATCTGGCCGCAATTGGCCAATATTTGGCTTGTGGGAATGTCCCAGAGATGGGGAGCAACTGGCCCTTGCCGCCCTGGCGCCGCCCAAGGCACGCTTACAGGTGACGGTGAGCGCACGGGGCTGATGGTGTCTGGCAGCAGAGGTTGTGTAGCCCACTGTGAATACCAGGCTACTGTTGGGGGGCGCATGTGATACGGACCGCTGGATACGCCTACTCCGTCCTATCTCTTTTTGGTTGGAGGGCAGGTCACCACTGGTCATCTCAGCCCCCTTGCGGGTCTTGCCCTTGGCCCACGAGTGGAGCGCATTCCTCTTGCACCTCAGTACTCGCCGCAGCCACGGCCACCAGCCGCTTGGGCAGATCCATTAAGCCGATGCCCAGAGCTGCAGGCCCACCCAGCAAGAAGGAGGTGAAGTGGTTGGCTAGGAAGCCCCGAGTAGAGGTGGTAAAGCATGCCCAGGGCCAGCAGGCAAAAGGCCACTATGAGTGGGGAAAGCCGGATTCCCATCGGTGCCACGGCCACCCAGTCCCAGCCTGGATTGTGTGCCTCCCCCCATCTCTGCTGGGCCTGAGCGGCCATGGCACCGATGTGGATCTGGCTTTCCCCACTCGGGGTGGGCTTTTTGCTTGCTGGGCATGGGCGTGCTCTACCACCTTTACTTGAGCTTCCTAGACGGCTGCTTTGCCTCCTTTGTGCTGGGCAGGCCTGCTGCTCCAGGCAGCGGTGGCAGCCTAATGGACTTGTGCGAGCTGCTGGTGGCGGTGGCCCGAGGCGGGGCCAAGGTGCATCGGGTGTGCAAGGGGAATAGGCTCCATGAGGGGGCCAAGGGCAAGATCTGCGAGTGGGCCAAGATGACCAGCAGCGACCTGCTTTCCAACCGCAAGCAAAAACAAATGGGATGGAGTAGGCACGTCCAGTGTCTGCATCACATGCCTCCCCCTCCCCTACTCCCCCTGCTGCTGGAGAGCTGGCCCAGTATTCACAGCAGCTGCAGAGCCCCATAGTGTGCCGGTCGAGGGGCCAGCAGGTTGTGGTTGCTGACGGACATCGTCGGCCCCCATGTGCTCGCTAACCTCTGTGTGTGGAGGCCGATGGTGTCAGACAACAGCTGCCCCGGCCTCACCTTGCATTGCCCCACAGTAACAGCACCCCAGCCCTCTGCCTCACCTCACCCCGCAGGACGAGCCTTCTGCCCACCGCCCCACCCACCAGAGATCCTCTGGGTCTCCCACAACCCTGGCCGGCCCCCACAGGAGTCCCATGAGCAACATTGAGGTGGCCACACCCACCCAAGCCACAACTATCCAGTCCCCCTGAGGGCACCACAATGCTGATGCGGCCCTCAATGAAATTGAGTTTGACACCCCTGGTTTAATCAATTTCTTTTTTCAGACTCTCAACAGTGTGATCTTCTGCCTGAAAGTGTCTAATTCTAGTCTATTTCAATTTGCTGATACTGAATATGTCAATAGGTAGTTGATTCATTTCATCTTTTACTGTGATGATCTTTTGTATGTTTATCCTTATGTTCCATATTTCCACTGCAATTCCTTCTCTGCAGCTTTTGATTGTCTTTTCCAGCATGACAATATCAACTACTTTAATCTAGCCACATCATAAACATTATTAGATCGTCATTTCTTCCTCTGCCAGCATCTGACTTGATGGGCCCATCATCTGGCACTACATTATATCGACAATCACTTTATTAAATCTATCCATGTGATTTTCTTGGTAAAATATAGAAGTGCTTATTCTTGTTATATCATTCATATATTGTACACCGTGAATGATGCTTTTACTTTTGTCACTAAAGCAATAATCTACCCACAGCAAATTCCTATGCCCCTGTTGCCTGATATAAGCACATAAGTGCTTTAGCTGGGCAGTTGGCATTATCCTGATGGAAGTGTAGCATTTTGGTGTATGTTCCTGATATTCCTTATTCATCCCTTCCAGTACCAGCTTCCACCATCACCACAATCAAACAGCATAGCAGGAAATGGGGAGGGGAGGGGAGTGCTGAAAATTTTATTATTGGGGTAAAACCCAGGCTTTATTTCCTAAAAATAAAGTATTCAATAAAAATATCAACAAACTTGCAATCAGACATTTACTTGAAGTTGAATCTTAAATATTTCCATTTTGCAGCATTCCCAGAATCTCTTGCAACTAGCAGTGTAAAACTAGAAATTATTAGTCAGATTACAGTTAGAGAATTTGCATTTTGAGCAGCTAATGTGGAAGCAAAAGAAAAATCTGTCTGGGAGCCATCAATCATTCTGCTCCCACTTCGGTTTGTCGTGCACAGTTTCAAAAGGCTGACAGTATAGAACAGGGGTAGGCAACCTTGGCTCTTTCATGACTCGTGAACTTCAACTCCCAGAATTCCTGAGCCAGCCATGCTGGCTCAGGAATTCTGGGAGTTGAAGTCCATGAGTCATAAAAGAGCCAAGGTTGCCTACCCCTGGTATAGAAGTGTCTGAGCTGAATCAGAAGCCCTGATGTCTCCAAGTTACCTAAGGTAGGAGTACCACATGCAGCATCAGAAAATTTTATGAGGAGGAGAAAAACTCCAACAAAAGGCAGCCCAAATGATTAGCAGCTGCACGGCAAAGAAAGATGCTGTGAAAGTGCCTTTCTTGTAGAAAATCACAGTTGAGGAAAGATAAATATGCCCTGCAGGTCCCCTACCTGCCATGTTTGCCTGGCTGCTCCCGAGAGCCTGCAGGATGAGCTGAAGTTCTCTCACTGCTGCTGATGCCTCTTCTCCACAAGACATATCGGGTTCCATGACAAGCTCCATGAGGCCGATCCCTACCAGAGACAGCGGAAGGATAAAACAGCAGCTTTTTCATCTCATTGTATCAGTTCAGCTGAGCATAGCTGAAATCGCTGTTGATTTTATGCAAGGCAATTCAGAATCATTTATTATTTAATCACTGTCAAAATTCATACAACCACGGAACTGTCATTCTGTCTTACGTAAATTCACATCTCACTAATATATAAAAAAAGAAACTATATCTAAAGTCCCCCAAGAGAAATGCAGGATGCTCATAACTAGCTGTAAAAGAGCGTCCTGCAGATTTGGTAGCAAACAGAGGAATGTGGCCTCTGGCTTTGAAATGTAGCATCGACAGATGATCTATAGGAAATATCCTGTCTCTGGCAAATCTTCTGGTCCCTGAACACCTGATACCAGTAAACAGATCTCTGTATAGGAAGAAAAGTGAAGATTTTTGTGCTCAAACATCTTGAGGATACATGATTTCCCCACCTGATGATACCCATATGTATTCCAAGACAGTCTGATCAAAGGGACTGCCTTCATTTGGAAAATGCCAACAAAAATTCTATTTGGTCATTTAATTGTTCAATTAAATTTAAATGGTTAAAATATTTCTCCATCTGGGTTCCATTATTTTCCAGCCTGGAAATTCAGGCTCCCAGAAAAGCATCTGTGTTTATGTATAAATAGAAAATGAAATGGGAGGCCGTGCTTCCAAATTTTTTTTACAAGACATAAGTGAGTTTCTTTAGACTTCTTATGTATAGATGATATAGTTAAGTGTTTTTTTTGAAACTTCAATAACCTGGCATCATAACCTGGCAGTTATTTTGAGAATATGCATTCAATTGAAAACTTATAAATACTTGTTGCAATAGTTACATGCATAAAAATGTTCCAAACATACCTGCTCTGTTGAGGTCAACGAGTGTTTCGTTTCTAAAATCATCATGAAGGCTCTTTCCACTGTCTTGCTCCAACTGTATTTGCTTGATCCTCACAGCCTTGCTTACAATTTCATTCTGATTTTTATCCACTTGCATAAAGTATTGTAAGCAGCCATTCACTGCAATGGGAACCCTATGCTGAGTGATCTGATATCCAGCCTGCGTTTAGAAGGTTAACAGATAGTTCCTTTCAAATGAAAGCTGTATCTTTTAACACAGAGATCCATCCTTCTTGTTAACCATTAACACCAAATGACATACACATGGTAAGCTGCATGTAAACTTTCCATTCTGACCACCACCCTTCCCTCAAGGCACTTCTTACTGAAAAGATTAAAAAATAAAAACACAATATGAGTGATACTGAATAACAAAATTTCAACTTCTGTTAATGCTTGAATGTTAATATTTAGCCTTTCAAAGTAATTAGTCATACATAAATGTTGTGTTAAATGCCTTCAAACTACCAAAAAACTATATGGGAATAATAACTGGAGGGAGGAAGACTTGCATGAGAGATCTAATTGGCAAAAACGCTAAGGTCTCCTTCCTACTTGCTAGCTCTCTCCTTCAACTAGACTGAATACCACCTTAAATGTGATAGGCATTGCCTCATTTTATTGGCATAAATAGAGCAGTGATGAGATTTTGGGTTCAAGCTAGTGATTAATTTGGGCTGTGATCTAGTTGTCTGATGTCCTGCTGTTTTCATCCACAGTTGGGCTGGCATCTTCAGAAATAGAGTGACCCTATTCAGACAAGGTAGCAAGTGAAAGGCATACCTTTAGTTGTGCCTATTGAGGATATGATGTCAAATATCAAAGCAGATATTTGAAACCTTCCAAATGATGCCATATAAGGATTCAGATACAAGATAGCATACGAATTTAATAAATAAATGTTTACAAAAATCCTGTCCTCCCAGCAGCAACTTGACAATGAAGGAAACATGCACCTTAAAGAATTTCAATGTAGAAGAGAATGTGGTTATTCTGCCAACAGATAACAAGTGCTGTAAACTAAGAGAGGATCATCTGAATCCAGCCATAGACAATTTCTAAATGGAGAAATTTGAACAAAGGACATGGATACTGCACCGTTAAAGCCATACATTTGGTACTGGATGTGGATGACACTTATCTGGAGCCACGGTGAAGAAAAGTTCAAGAAAATCCTATAACATTTGAATAACATCCAGCTAATACTCAGATTGTGAAGAAAAGAATGACAAACTTGCATACTTGAACATTCTGATCATTTGGAAAGGAAATCTACAATGAGGATGTACAGGATATTAAAAACCAATACACAGAGATCACTATCTATATAAAAGTTTCAACCAGATGCATCATGAAAACTCTTAATGACAATGTCAAACACTTCTGTGAGCCCAGAAGATTAGCAGATGAGTTGAGATAGCTTGCTAATACTCCACAATCTAATGAATATTCTGCGAATACAGTCATATTAAGCAATGCAATCCAATTACAATAAATAATCAAACAAATACAAATTTCTAATAGGAAATAAGTTTCCTACATTGAGAAAGATACAGAACATATTGGTTAATGATTAGGAAAGCACAACCTGAAACAGTGTACAAACCAACAAAAAAACATTTAAGACATCATTCAATCTCCCAAGGATGGCAGAACGCCATTTTTATTATCAGGGGTCTACTGCAACCCCTGTAGTTCTGGACAGGTATATATTGGAACTACAAAATGCTTGTAGTTTAATCAAGATATACTTGATTAAAAGAGCACAAAAGGCATTGCTATCTAGAACTTGAAAAACCAGCAGTGACAAAACATGTACTTCCTCATATTGGACATGAGGTTCAATTAAAAAAGACATAAATATTGGCAATCATGTTCAAACTACCATATACAACTACACAAAGAGGCTATTGATAATTTCAACAGCAAACAATTTCAGTAGTAAGGAAGTTTGAAAATCAACAAAACATGGATTCCAGCTTTATGCCAGCTCTTAACTGAGGAACAACAAAAACAATTTGCAACAGTCTCACCAGAAAATATACCTAATGGTAGCCTGGTTCAAAGATGGGCTAATCAGGATCTGGTTCTCTTGGAACTTCTTTAAAATAGACCAATAAGAAATCTACCTAAATGAGGATAAATTAGGAATGAGCTTTTTTGGATTCCTGTGAAATAAACCACTCAGAGATCAGCTTGCCAGGTTCAAATGCAAGAGCCCAGTCAATACCCCCTCAGTTGCATACGGCAGCTCAGTTTGCCTCTGAAATTACCAGTGACACATCAGAAATTTAGAAACTAGACCACAGCCATTCAGCCTGAAACCGCATCACTGCTTGATTGCCTCATTTCCTTAATTACAAGTTAGTATTTTGTATTTGATGTTCAACATACTAAAGGTCAGGGGATATGGGTACATTTGCCTATGAAGGTGGAGGTTCGTTCTCTGAGCTTGTGGGTTGGTTTCCGAATATTTCGTTACCAGACTAAATAACATCTTCAGCAGAGTTTAGGGGATGTCTGTGTTTTTCTGCTTATAAAGGTTTTGTGTGGCCAGTAGGTCATGTGATGGGTCAGGTGTGGGTGTGTCAAGTGAGGGTCTTGTGATGGGTCTTGTAATGGGGAGGTCATGTCGGGTGAAGGTCACTGGGAGGTGAAGGGCTGATTGGGAGGGTTGCGCGGGTTGGTTGAGGGTTGTTGCCATTACTGGTTGGCTGTGGTTGATTTTAATTCTGAGGAGTTCGTAGGCTGGTTGTAGGTCGATGTGTCTGTTGATGGAATTGCTTGTGGAGTGCCCGGCTTTGATGGATTCACACCCATTTTGAGTGGTAGTATGGTATTACTCCAATCAAATTGATGCTGTTCGGGGTCAGTGTGGATAGAGATTAGGAATTTGGGATCGTAGTGCTTGACTGCCAGCTGATTCACGTATTCTGGTTTTTAATCGATAGGATGTTTGTCCCATGTAGAATTGGTTGCAATTGTTACAGTTAATCTTGTAAGTTACATTGTTTCTTTCATCCTTCTGTACCTTGTCCAGCACTTCACCTCCCAGTGACCCTCACTTGACATGTCCTCCCTATCACTAGACCCATTACAAGACTCTCACTTGACACACCCACACCTGACCCATCACAAGACCTACTGACCACACAAAGCAGAAGAACACTGACATCCCCCAAACTTTGCTAAAGATGTTACCTAGCCTGGTAACGAAATGTTCAGAAACCAACCCATAAGCTTGGAGAACGAATCTCCACCCTCATCCTACACCCGAGTTACAGCTATTCGCCACCATCGCAAACATTTGCCTATGTTTATAGAAAAAAAAGTTGGAACTAATCTTCAAGGCAATCTGCTTCTAACTCTTACAATGCAAAAAAATCTCTGTTAAAGGTGCCTATTTGGCTGCTGCTTTTAATAAAGAATAGCATGTCAAAACAGTTCATAACATCTAGTAGTTGATCTGAATATTAAGCTAAAATATTTTTTTAATGTAATTTGATCCCAGTGGTTGGTTTCCTACCATCTGCAGAATAGAGAAATATTTTGAGCTAAACAGCACGTCTATATTCCCAGGAAGTGTCATGGATTGTGTCATGAAATTGCTCCCATTGAGAGGCTTCCTGTTTGTAAAATGCCTACTGAGATAGTTCTGACCAAACAAAGAGCAGCTGTTTACTAGAAAACGACTCATAGAGCTGCTATGCTGTTATACGGCACGCTGATGTATGTAAAATCAAATAATAAATATGGTAAATTACTTATGTGGAAGCTCTTGAATGTGGCCAGTTGGTGCCAGATTCTCTACAAGATTTGATGCTTTTGCCAAATGACTCAAGCAGTGCCACCACATTGTGACATAAGATCAACCCCTTTCATGTGTGCATGCAACTTCATGAGAACTGTACAAAAGGGACAGAGCTCACACTGCAATGGTAAAATGCTTTTAAAATTTGCTCACTCCCAATGCCTGGTTTCCTGATGAGTTCTGTCTCCTGTGGGATTTGACCTGTGCATTTGCTCCAGGATTTTCCAGTATGAGCTGCTGCTATAGGGAATGTTTGTGGCAGTTGTGAATTCCCTTTGAGGAAAGAGTAACACCACCATACTTAAGAGATAGGTGCTTCCTCTTCTAAAGAAGCTATAGGTAATTAATGTGGACATCTATTGGCCCACCTACCATCTCCCCTTCTTAGGGAAGTTTGATGAGAAGGCAACAATGCAGCAATGACAAAGCACCTTGGGTGAAATGGTTCATCCGGCCTAGGATCAGGAGGAAAATCACATTTGGTAGTGTAAACATGTGGATTATCTCTGTTAGGACTTAGATAAGGGAGTGCATCTATCTTTATGTGGCTTCAATACCATAACTAATAAAAATTTACAGTGGTTTCATTCCTCCCTGAGTGATCGGTTTCAAATGATGTTAACAAGGGAAGAGAGGTTAAATTCTTTTCTTTAGGTAATCTAGTTTTTTCTCTTGTTTTTCTTCATACTATGAAGCTTTTTGTTGAATTTTAAATTATATAATTTTAATATACTGTAATGCTGTTATTGTACTGCTTTCATTTATGTACATTATTACAGGCTACTAAGGATTTTAAAAGGAATTGTAATGTTTTTGAAATGTAATAAAAACATTAAAAAAGAACATATCTTCTTCATCTGTCTGAAGAATGCTAATCTGACAGCAGGTAGTCATTTATTTATTTATTTATTTATTAATTTGATTTATATACCGCCCTTCTCCCGAAGGACTCAGGGCGGTGCACAGCATATTAAAAACAAGTAACAATAAAATACCAAAAATAGAGTTAATAAATACCAAAATAAAAACCCCTCTAAGACCAAATTAAAAGCCAAATATTAGTAGCTGTGTCGTAATTAAAATTATATTAAAAATCGTCCCTAAC